GGATGGTCACACTTAAGAGCTTTAATTCCTAAACCCTTCCTAAAATTTGGATGCACATACCCTCAAAATAAAACTGAGAGTGTGCACTTTCAGCCCAAATCCATTATATAACCATAGCTTGAATATGTTTTGGTAAATACCTGAAAAAGACTAAAATTTTGCAAGTGTCCAAATATATATGGACCTAACTGTAATATATATATATATATATATATACACACACACACACACACAGGTGAAACTCGAAAAATTAGAATATCGTGCAAAAGTTCATTTATTTCAGTAATGCAACTTAAAAGGTGAAACTAATATATGAGATAGACTCAATACATGCAAAGCAAGATAGTTCAAGCCGTGATTTGTCATAATTGTGATGATTATGGCTTACAGCTCATGAAAACCCCAAATCCACAATCTCAGAAAATTAGAATATTACATGCAATCAATAAAACAAGCATTGTACATAGAACAATATCGAATCCTGAAAAGTATAAGCATGCATATGTACTCAGTACTTGGTTTGGGCCCCTTTTGCAGCAATTACTGCCTCAATGCGGCGTGGCATGGAAGCTATCAGCCCGTGGCACTGCTGAGGTGTTATGGAAGACCAGGATGCTTCAATAGCGGCCTTCAGCTCTTCTGCATTGTTCGGTGTCATGTCTCTCATCTTTCTCTTGGCAATGCCCCATAGATTCTCTATGGGGTTCAGGTCAGGTGAGTTTGCTGGCCAATCAAGCACAGAAATCCCAGGTTTTGGTGCTTTTGGCAGTGTGGGCAGGTGCCAAGTCCTGCTGGAAAATGAAGTCAGCATCCCCATAAAGCTCGTTTGTGGAAGGAAGCATGAAGTGCTCCAAAATCTCCTGGTAGACGGCTGCGTTGACCCTGGACACCAGCAGATGACATGGCTCTCCAAATCAACACAGACTGTGGAAACTTCACACTGGACTTCAAGCATCTTGCAGTGTGTGCCTCTCCATTCTTTCTCCATACTCTGGGTCCTTGGGTTCCAAATGAGATGCAAAAGTTGCTCTCATCAGAAAAGAGGACTTTGGACCACTGAGCAACAGAACAGGTCTGTTTTTATTTAGCCCACGTAAGACGTTTCTGACGTTTTTTGTTCAGGAGCGGCTTGACAAGAGGAATACGACATTTAAAGCCCATGTCCAGGATCCGTCTGTGTGTGGATGCTCTTGATGCACTGACTCCAGCCTCAGTCCACTCCTTGTGAAAGTCCCCAACACTGTTGAATGGCCATTTCCTGACAATCCTCTCCAGGCTGTGGTCATCCCTGCTGCTTGTGCACCTTTTTTCTTCCACACTTTTCCCTTCCACATAACTTTCTATTAATGTGCTTTGGATACAGCACTTTGGGAACATCCAACTTCTTTTGCAATTACCTTTTGAGGCTTTCCCTCCTTATGGAGGGTGTCAATGATGGTTTTCTGCATAACTGTCAGGTCAGCAGTCTTTCCCATGATTGTGATTCCTACTGAACCAGACTGAGAAACCATTTAAAGGCTCAGGAACCCTTTGCAGGTGTTATGGCTTAATTAGCTGATTAGAGTGGGACACTTTGAGCCTAGAATATTGCACCTTTTCACAATATTCTAATTTTCTGAGATTGTGGATTTGGGGTTTTCATGAGCTGTAAGCCATAATCATCACAATTATGACAGATCACAGCTTGAACTATCTTGCTTTGCATGTAATGAGTCTATCTCATATATTAGTTTCAACTTTTAAGTTGCATTACTGAAATAAATGAACTTTTGCAAGATATTCTAAATTTTTTAGTTTCACCTGTATAAATATATATATATATATTTATACAGGTGATATATATATATCAATTAAACCTTTAATATAGCTTGCATCTATAACACACAATCCATAGAGCCTTCTGGGTCCTTTAATCACTTGCCCTCCAGAGGATTTACCCCCCCTTCTTGACCAAGCCATTGTTTGCGATACGCGCTGCATTAATTTAACTGACAATTGCGCGGTCATGCAATGCTGCACCCAAATGGAGTTTATGTCTTTTTTTCCCACACAAAGAGCTTTTTTTGGTGGTATTTGACCTCTGATGTGATGATGCGATATAAACAAAAAAAAAATATTTTTCACTATTTGCTATTAAACATATCCAGTAAAAAACTCTAATTTGGTTATAAATTTAGGCCAAAATGTATTCTGCTCTTTGCTAAAAAGAAATTCCCAATATGTGTAAATTAATTGGTTTACGTGAAAGTTATAGCATCTACAAATGGCGGTATAGATACTGGAATTTTTTTTCTTTTATACTAGTAATTACAACAATCAGCGACTTATAGTGGGACTGAGGCGGGCATTCTGACATTAGGTGGGAACTGACTAACTGCCACTGACATCCCCAGTGACACTAATACAGTGATCAGTGCTAATAAAAAATACGAACACTATACTAATGGCACTGGGCAGGAAGGGGTTAACATCTGGGGCAATCAAAGGGTTAACTGTGTGCTGTGCACTGTTTTACTATTGTGTATGTGTGTATTGTACTGTGTAAGCACATTGCTCTGTATTGCTCTGCTGTGCAGAGCATATAACGCAGTGTGCTGGAGCTGACAGGGTAGAGATCTGTATTGTTTACATACGGACCTCTCCTCCGTCAGTGATAGTCGGCGATTGTCGGGTGCCGGTGGGGAATCACCGGCTGGGACTAAGTGATCGGACCAAGCGGCTGCGCCCCTTACCTGGAAATGCAAAATCATGTATGTGTACATGATTTTGTGCAGCCCTGCCACCCTGTAGCACTATTACTACTATAGGGTGGCAGGCAAGCAATTAAATAACAAGATCAAAATTATCTGGTTAATTTCCAAGCTTTCTCTGTGTGGAGCCATACAGGATAGGGGAAGGAGGGTGACAACAGTTTTGACATATTCAGCTGTGTCTGTGACCTGAGCTTCAGATATCCAGTATTATAAAAAACAGACTTTTTTAAAAACCATTCGGCAAGCCTGGAAAACATGTGAAAAGAAGCCTACAGCTCCACTTGCTGGTTATACATAGTAAGGTGGGTTGTTTTGCTATAGGTTCATCTGCAGTACATTCTATACACAAAGAAGAGGAATGACCTGTGATGTCCCTGGACCGGCCAAAAGAACCTAAGACTGCAGGAAAAGGTACACTGGCTAATGGAACATGAGTTTAGCCACACCAAAGATATTCTACCGGGCTCCACCAAAGACCAGCCCACATTTGCAAACCTTTGACTTTGAAGAAAGCTTTTCATCTGGAAACATGGTCTGGATAAAAGCGCACAGATGTGTCCCAAAGGAACTACGTGAATGGTATATGTCAACTGTGATTAGTGGGGAAAGAAACTCACTGCTGCCATGGTAAAAACACATTGGTTTGTGGAAAGTATGAACAGGAGCCAGGCGCTGTGTAGTTTTGTGATAAAAGTAATACACCTTATATGGAGGTGTGCCTTTAATAATTCAGAAGGCTCATAAAAGATGGATGTGACAAACACAGTGTCCCAAGGCATTTTCTTTGCCATCACAACAAGAATTTTAGTGTCCTATAAGTGATGGCCATAGAACAAATTCCCAAAGGAACCCTTACTGATAATGAGAGGTTATCCCTCCTATTTAAAAGGGAAACCTTTTGGATCTATAAATTTGGATCTATGGTACCGAATGGCCTTAAGGAGGACCTTGAAGTACATAGTATCATCTAAGTGGTAACTTAGGGTTCTCAATATATTCTATAATAAAACCCCCATCACTATCATTACATGATTATTATTTTTGATATTTTATATATTATTTTTTATATTTTATATATTTAAGACCACTCTGTTTATTCGGTCCATAAAAGTAATTACTGAATTGTATTCGTATTTCTACATATATATACATATTCTTATATTTTTTATTTATTTATATTGTATTATTAATAATTTTTTTATATATATGTATATTTTATCTTTTTTATTATATTGTTTTATTATATATACCTATGCATGTTTTTTATAAAAATATGTATGTAGTTTTAATATATTTATCAATATTATTAGCACTAATATTATGATAATTCTCCTATTCACCATTGCAGATATGAATAGGATTATTGACAATCTTTCCCACCATTCCAATGTTTTATTGCTGTCAGCAATGTTTTTGAGATGTGAACTCATCCAGCTGGCTAATGAAGCTTCATTAAGCATTCTTTCCTTCCCCCCTCCTCCCTTTTTTTTCTCCCCTTGATTGTTATATATGTCAAATAATAAAATGTTTTATAATCTTACACAGCGCCTGGCTCCTGTTCATACTCATCTGGAAACATGCCAACAGATCCAGGATCCCTCCTTTAGTTGAGCAACCCTAAGAATCAATCTTCAGAAAGTACAATGCCACATGACACATTAAAACTAACAGCAATATAAACTTGACAGGGGGTGCTAATCCTACTACTACTGGATACTCATTAACACACTAAAAAAATACTTTTGGCTATACATATATATACACATTTTAAAGCTGACTTCCAGGACCTCAAGTAAATTAGCAGAACACTAGATTTTGTTTCTGCTGAATATGAGCTTATTATTTAAACATATTCTTAATAAGTGTCTTTTTTTAACTACTTGCCGACCGCAGATAGCTACACTGCGGCCGGCCAGTTCTGGGTGGGCGTCATATGACGTCCTCCCAGAACGCTCTCTCCTGCGCGCCCCCGGGGGAGCACACCAGGCGATCTCTGTGTTCGCTGTGTCCTACGGACACAGCTGATCATGTGATGTGGTAAAAGGCCAATCACAGCGGCCTTTAGCACGCGATCAGCCGTGTCCAATGACACGCTGATCACCGGTAAATGCAATTGCCGGTTCTCGGCTGCACTTTCCTCACACTGTCAGATCATGAGGAAAGTACTGCCGAGAACTGGCAGTTGTTAGAGCAGGGATAGGCACCGATCATCAGGGCACTGATGATCAGTGCCCTGATGATCGGTGCCCAGCAGTGCCACCCACAAGTTCCGCCCACCTGTGCCCAGCAGTGCGCCCACTAGCTCCACCCACCTGTGCCCAGCAGTGCGCCCACCTGTGCCCAGCAGTGCACCCACCTGTGCCACCCAATGTCACACACCTGTGCCCAGAAGTGCCACCTACCTGTGCCCAGCAGTGCCAAACACCTATGCCCATCAGTGCCACCCACCAGTGACACCCACCAGTGCCACACACCAGTGCCCATCAGTGCAGCCCAGCAGTGCTGCCAGTCAGTGCCACAAGTCAGTGCCCAGCAGTTTTGCCAGTCAGTGCCACCTATCAGTGCTGTCTATCAGTACCCATCATCGGTGTCGCCTATCAGTGCCGCCTATCCATGCCACCTCATTAGTGCTGCCTATCAGTGCCGCCTATCAGTGCCCATCAGTGCTGCCTCATCAACGCACATCAGTGAAGGAGAAAAATTACCTGCTTGAAAAATTTTATAATAGAAACAAAAAAAACATTTTTTTTTTTCAAATTGTTTGCACTTTTTTTGTTTATAGTGCAAAAAGTAAAGCACCCAGCAGCGATTAAATACCACCAAAAGAAAGCTCTATTTGTGAGAAAAAAATTATAAAAATTTCATATGGGTATAATCTTGCATGACCGTGCAATTGTCAAAGTGCGACAGCGCTGAAAGCTGAAAATTGGCCTGGTAAAGAAGGGGGTATAAGTGCCCGGTAGGCAAGTGGTTAAATAATATAATGTGGCCCATATGATTTTGATTTATTTCATGTATTTTTAAAACAAAGGCTTTACACATTGCAGTGGGTTCTTCATATCTTACTGTCCATGTGACCAAAGTTAAAGTCATTATAAAGACATATTTTTTTTAATACAAACATATACTTTCCTGCTCTGTGCAATTGTTTTGCACAGAGCAGTCCCGAAACTCCTTTTCTCGGGTCCCCCCACCGGCACTCCTGGTCCCTCCCTCCTGCCAAGTGTCCCCATAACAAACAGCTTGCTATGGGACCACCAAAGCAGGTTTGCTCCCGAGTCGCTGATCTGTGTGTCCATTCACAAATAGTTGTGGCTCAGCCCCACACCCACTCTCTCCTCATTGGCTCACTGTGTGTGATTGACAGTAGCGGGACCATAAAGAATACATAAAGGTAAAATCCCTTGAACCTTTACAGCCACTTTAATGTAGTTATATTCCCTGTGTTTTTTTTTTGCCTTTTCTTGTAATGATGCGTTCACATGTGGTGGCAGTTTGTAGCAGGGGCGGACTGACCATTTGGAAATCGGGCACTGCCCGAGGGCCCGGGGTCAGTAGGGGGCCCCATGAGATGCCCCTGGTACCTTTTTCATATCCTTTTTTGAGTTTGGGCAAGGACACAGGGGCCCCATGATCCCCTATTGCCGGGGGGCCCCATGAGTTGTCAGTCCGCCCCTGGTTTGTAGTGTCATGACTGATAAATTCCCCTAGCTTGTCCATATTCACTAGAGGAATGGGCAATTTCTAGCTCACAATGTCAAATCCACCTTCACTGTGTTGCGTCACAAATGTGGAAGTGCTAATGTAATTGTAGCACTACCCCCACAGGAACCGCCTGGGAATTTGGGTTCTCTGTTCTGTGCTTCAATTCCAAGAACAACCTCAGCCTTTCTGACACACCTGGTTGAATGAAAGTTACTGCAAGCACTAATAAGAACACAAGTGTAGATACATGTAATGTGGCTCTAATTTAGTACAAGGAAATAGACACAAGACTGTTTAGTGTTAAATTAACTCATTGGTAAGGGTTAAAATAAATGGTGGTTTGAGCATAAATGAACACACAAAAAGTAGGTTCAGACACAGTCTGCTAGACATTATGATCATTATGCCAAAGTAATTTAGAATAGAGTTCTATACCAGTAGACTGGACTCAACACATAAATCTACAAAGTCAGCAATAAACTGTGCATATAAGCATTAACTGCATAGTGTATAATACTACTACACCTAGTCTAAAGTGCAATCTTGAAGAATCCTTGGGATATAGTGCAATATCCCCTAAGACATACCTCTTACCATAAGCAATAGGTAAAGGTATATGTGTAATGGCTGTAAAGGGGCAGTCTTTAGATCTAACTCTTCAGCCGGCTAGCACTGGGGCTCAGTCATACTGTTGGTGCACATGAGAATAGTCCCAATCAAGCCTCCAGGCAGCAGTAAGGCTACCAGATGGCTGTATGGTTAGTTTCCAAAGGGTTCAGTCTCTCTAGCAGCAGATAGTAAATCCCCATAGCAGCAGCTCACCATTCCCAGAGATACTGCAGCTGCCCATCTTATCAGTCTATTCTCTGCTCTGCACCCAGGTGACTCTGTATGACGGCACTCCGGGAACTCAGCACTTCAGATCCTGCTCAAGTCATTGATATGCAGCAGTGATGGTACACTGTGTCCTGTACAGTCCGACAAAATGCCGCTCTTACCCTTCCTCCCGGCAATCTCCTCTCTGGGGGATGTAGTTCAAAAGCTCCTGATTACACAACAGAGTCGCTCCTCCTTTCTACATATCCCACAATGCATTGCTGCCTGACTCACTATATTTAACCCTTTCTGCTCTGCAGCTCCCTCCTTTTACTGAAATAGCTGTTACTCAGTTCAGCACTACAAGGCATAAACTACAGAGACCAGCTGCAGCCAGTGTTTCTCTCTCACTCCCATTCTCAGCCAAGCACCTGGTTATGTTTTCAAACAGTATGGTGATCTCTCTGTTAATTGCTCTGCCTGTTTGTGTCTATATCAGATCATACTACTATTTAGTTCTCACCTGCACCAGTGGTAGACTGAGATTCCCAGGGATTGTGGGATATATAGTTTCTTCACAGGAAGTTTCAGTTCTTAGACACTGGAATATGAAGATTTATGTTACTTTAGGGTAGGTTCAAATCTATGTAAGTGTGGTACTGCACTTAAATCCTAATGGCACCCTCACACGCTGGAGATTGTGGTGTATCTTTCTGTGGTTGGAAATGAATGAATGGGCTACTGTGCCCCCACAGGGGAACCACAATAGTGTGAACCTAGCCTAAGGCTGTACACACAGGACAACAAGTGAAACCATGGAATTACATGATCAATACACATCTTATGGAAATAAAAAAAAAAAACACAAAATGCTGGTAGGAAGGTTTACCATGCACTTAAGAACTAGTTTAAATTTGCACTTGGAGGGCAGTAAAAACAAGCAGTTGAGATGCATTTTTATCCCCCCCCCCCCCCCCTAGTTGCAAAGGCAGCGATACAGGGGTATGCACATTCTGCAACTACAATGCTACACAATGCGGATCCTTAAAAATGATCTGCTCCAGTGCATTCAGTGGTCTTTACTGCTGCACTTTGAATTTGGCCACTCTGCAATCATCACATAACCACATCCAGTGCACATGGCTTCAGCATGGTGGTACAGGCTTTTAGGGATTAAATGGGCAGTAAGGAGGTAGCCTAATGCCTCCTCATCGAAAATCCAATGCCCTCTGAAAATTGATCCACTGTGAATTTCTTTGCAGAGAGGTATGCTGGCATAAATGAATCCTAAATATATTATATATGTTGCAGTGCCATTCATTTTATATTCCATCCCAATACACTAAAGCAGGGGTCTCCACACGTTTTCTTGTTCAAACATTTTTATTAACAAGAGAGAAATTTTAACAGCACAAACAAGGAGACTTTGCTGATATACATTGGATATTGAAGAGGCAATAGGACAATGAAGAAAAATGAATGTGGAACACATTACAGATGTCTATACAATTCTAGCAAAAGCAGGAACAAGAAAAAAGTCGACAATAGATGACATTATTGTCCTAGCCAATCGAAATAACATCTCCTAGGTGCATTGAAGAAATAGGGGGAAGTTTGGAGGGAGGTCAGACGGGGAGGAAGGGGGGGTATGGGAAAAGGAACAATAACAGTGACTCCATGTACAATCAACTAACTTACAGCAGACTCTACTTGTAGCCCACGATGGACTATTGACAGAATCCTGGGCACACAATATAGAAATCAAGGAAGAAGGAGTGATTCGTCAAAGTTAGGCGGGAGGAAGTGCTCTACCCAGGGGTTCCATATGTGCAGAAATTTAGGGATCATGTCTTGTATTGTGGCTTCCACCTTTGCATGTATCATGGCTTGTGTTATTCTGGTTTTGACGGCAGCAACACTAAGAGTGGGGGATTTCCAGGATTTCGCTATAACCTGCTTAGCCGCTGTTGTAACTTGCATAAGGAGCTTAAATTGCGAATTGGAGACGTCAGGGGGGGCACTGATTGAGTAGGGCTGTTGATGGGTCAGGTCGTAGGGTGATAGCGCTAAGTGTAGATAGCATGGTGAAAATTTCATCCCAAAAGGCTCGGGCCACTGGGCATTCCCACCACACATGGTAATGTGTCCCTAAGTCTGTGCAGCCTCTAAAACAGTTGGGCGAGTAATTAGGGGTAAATTTTGCGATTCTCGCTGGGACCAAGTACCAACGGGTTAAAACTTTATAATTCGTTTCCAATGCTACAATGTTCTGCGAAGATGATTTTGTGTTGGCCCAAATGTGATCCCAGTCAGACTGGTCAAGTTTCTTGTCTAAATCCACTTCCCACTTGTGGGTATACGGAGGGGGGGGACGTGGTAATCGAAGTAGTGAAGAGTGAATATAAGCTAGAAATAAGCCCACGCCTATGGGGGTCTTTGTAGCACGCTCGTTCAAAGAAAGACATAGCATCTGGCCGATTTGTCGTTGTAGCGTAGGGAGCATAAAAGTGTTGTAGTTGTAAGTATCTAAAGATCTCGGAGGCTGGGAGGTCGTGTGTTTCCCGCAGCGAGGTAAAAGATTTAAACTTATTCATCTGTAGGAAATGATGTGTGCGGAGCAAATTAGAGGAGGACCAGGCTTTGAATAAAAGGGGCGTCTGCCAGGCCGGGGGAAAGGCTGGGTTTCGTAAAAACGAGAGCAGAGGATTGTGTTGCGATTGGAGGGGATATTGGGTTTTCAGTTTATCCCATAAGGATAAAAAGTGAGAAGTGATGGGGTTAGTTATAGAACGACGGTCTATAGGCCTCAACCAGAGTAAGTTAGCTGTAGATAAGGGGTCACATTCTATCGATTCAAGTAAAACCCATTGAGGGATTTCAAAGGTTGCATGGTATTTTGGTAACTGGGCTAAATGCGCTGCTTGATAGTATTTGCTGATGTCAGGTAGGCCTAGACCACCATTGAGCTTAGGGCGGTACAGGGTGGAGCGAGGTATACGAGGACGAGTTTTACCCCATACATAGGAAAAAATACGACCCTGTAGTGTGCGGAGGTAGTGAGGGGGGACTGGGACTGGGAGGACTCTAAATAGATATAGAATTTTTGGAAGGATAGACATCTTGATGACTGTTATT